AATAATAAGAATAGTTTAAATATTATTATTATTAATTTAATTAATATATTTAATTTTTTGGCCTTTCAATATGAAAAAAAATATACACCCATTTGGAATATTTGTTTAAAAGATTCCAATTCTGATTCTGTGATTACAAATAGTTAGACAATTATTTTTACTATTATAAATTTAATTAATTAATTAAAATTACTTTTTGAATTAGTTTTTTTAAAAATTAAATATTTTTTTTAAAAAAATTAAATTATAATAATTTATCTTTGAAATTAAGCCTAAATGTTAGTGCGTTGAAGCAAGCAGAAAAATGGAAATCTTCAAATTTAGTTTGACAGCTAACATTTTTAATAAACCAAATCTTTGATTAGATGATCATCACATTTACGTAAATTGATTTTTTTTTTTCTTTTTTAGGAAACATGTAATATCAGGTTTTAATTATTGTAGCCAAAAATCCTCTAAAGATAGTAGGTAGATATATATATATATATATATATGTAAATGATTGGCGTTTTTTTTTTTTTTTTTTTCCCCCTGAAAATGTATGTATATGATTAGCTGTTGACGTGAACGCAATGAGTTGTAATTTGTAGATGGTAATAAGACATTAGAAAAGAAAAAGGAATTCTTCCAACCTTTAATGATGAGTTCATGCGCTGTCTAATTCTATCTACAACTCAATCATCATTTTGTTTCTAGACTTTCATGCTTCATAATCAAACCTCTCCTCCCCCAAAACCAAAAAATCAAGTTATGAACACAATTTTTTGTTTGCTATAATTATAAATGGGATTCCAGACTTACAAAGATTCTTACATACACTTCCTCATACATATATATATATATATATATGATCCAAGAAATTATCCAGAAGCAACCTTATCTTTATACATGTTAAATCAAAAGATCTCATGTCATACAAAAGAACATTGTAAATTAATTTTGTAACGACCCGGAACTTAAAATAAAATAAAATCATAAATTGAATGCGAAAACGGAATAATCGAGTCAAGATTTACATTTCTTATACAATAGTTTAAAATATCCAATAAGTTTACGAGAATGTCCATTCTAAAATAACAAACGAAAATTAACGAAAAGTAAACAACTGAGCATCCTATGACGACTTTCACTATCTTTTAAAGGAATCTGAGTGGTGAACTATTCACAATCCCCTTATTGATCAGGATCTGAATCTTGATTTTCTTGATATGAAATAGTTAATGAAGGGGTGAGTTATACTAGTCCAGTAAAAATATCACACTACTTACCAATACAGAAAATGAAAGTTGGTAAAAATTATAAAAACAACTTATGGAGCTCTTAATTTAAGTAAATTCATTTATCATAAGTAAAATCATTTATTACATACTTACCATTGTGAGATTTTCAAAACCGACCTAAGAGACAATAGTTCAACAACATTATAATCTCATATTCAAGTAAGCAAGAATAACAATTTTTCCTTTTTATTTGCCTACTGGTATCCATGGAGGTCCATAGATGTCCCACTACGCGTGATGTAATACCCTGACCCGAAATTTGATACGAAATTAATTTTAAAATTAAAAAATATATATAAATATAATTTTTAAATTTTTAAATTTTTATTTAATGTAAAATTAAGAAAAAATAGGTGGATGATGAAATTAAAAATAATTTTGAAAAAATGGGTGAAAATTTGGGTTCGGGAGGTATTTTTGAAAGAAAAATCAGAAACTGGAGGTTAAACTGCAATTAAAGAAAAATGCACCACGTAGGACCACCCAGTCGGCAGTCCCGATGAACCAGAGCGCGCTACGTGGCAAAGCACGCTGATTCAGTGTCACGCGGGAAGCCACACTGGCAATCCGCATGCCTGCGATCAGACGGCCTGGATGCATTTCCGCGAGCGTGGACAGTTCAGATTTGTTCCTTCCTCAAGCATGATCAGACGGTCGTGTTTAAACGCGATAAACGGTTCATATTCGTTCCCTCTTTAAATGCGATCGTACTGTCAAGATCAAATCGCAATAAACGGTCTAGATTTATTTTCTCTTTAAACGTGATCGGATGTCGAGATCAAACGCGACGAATGGTCCAGATTTAAGGAAGACATGTATAAATATCTAACTTCACACCGAACCAAAACCCTAGTTGCCAGCTCTTGCCGGAGAAGAAGAATTGGTCACCAGATAAAGAAACCGACCGTCGCTGTGTCGGAGCCACCTCCGACAACCAAAAAAGGTAAAAATTATTTTATTCGCTCGGAATTTAATTTTGAATACCCCCATGGCTAAATTGGAATAAAAGGAATGGCAAATGAGTCAGAAACCGTGGGTAAACCCCAGTGGTGCTGCCGTGGACAAAACCAAAAATCGTCTCTGATGAGCCCCTTCCTATTTCTAGTTTCGTGCGATTTTTCTACTATTATGTTCATCATTCTGTTTTCTACAGGTTGACTAAAGAAAAACACTCAGCCTCGAAGGTAAACCGGCGAAGCCACTGCACCGAAAAATTTCGCCGCCGGTAAGTTTTTATTTTTCGACTTTTTTGGGCCAACCAAGGCCCCCTAATGTGTTTTCTCACAAGGACGGGTATAAAATCGGCCGAAATTAGTCAAAACTAGCCAAAAACGTCTAGTTCGAAGCAAACTACCACCGTGCCGGAATTTCAAAATTGGTTGGAAAAAGTTTTTTACACCAATTTTGAGTTTTTTTGGGATATTTTTAAGTACTTAAAATGTATTTTTACCTCTGCAGAAAAATTTAGGAAACCTGGGGACCGCCAGTAGCGCAATAGAAAGTTATGTGTTTCGAACACCGATTCGAGTAAGATCCATCACCTTATTCCACGTTATGGAATTGAAGTCAAATTATCATATACAGTATTTTGCGTA